GATATCATAGACCTAGTCTTTCCCCGTCTTGATTATTCTTCTAACTTTGCATTTATTTGTTGAATTCGTCGCCAGTCGTCACATTTATCACGCTAAAACCATTGATTCGATTATTTATTCGTCCAGATAAAATAAAGGCTATATAATTATAGTACTTATATTAAAATTAAATCACCATCCATGTGGTTTGACACTCTTAACTCCATTAATATATTACAAAAACTTGACACCGTACACTTGCGGCATAAATTACATCACAAAAAATGTGTGACAGAGCAACATGACAAGAAAGAATATGCCAAACCTGATATGTTTTAAACGAGGCACTTAGCAGAGGAGAAGAAGAAGAAGCCGTTGAGCTCCAACTCTTCCACATGAGCCGTCCCGTTCATTGAAGGTGAACTTACCTCCTCCCCATATAAAAATGGAGACAATAAGGGCAAGAAAAAAATCAAGTCCAGAAAAGAAAGCTGATTTTGACCAAGAATACTGAGCTTCCTCCTTCCTAAAGCGCCAAACAACGATCGATGAATCATTGAAAAGACCCATTAAAGCAAATCCTATCTCCTCCATGAAGATAGTGGAGACAAAGGAGGAGAATGAAGAAAATATGAGCCTCATAAAAAGGTAAAGGGACAATGAGGCTAGCAAAAGTGCTCATTCTGAAGGGAAGGTCCCAAATTTCTTGGGATGTAGGTGTAACGAGATCGTCGCTACAATTTTAGAGATGCTTTCCGTCGAAGTCCACGTGACAACAAAGGTCCACCATAAAATATAATACTCATCTTATGCCGATACCTGTGACTCGGTTGACATGTTAGAGGTCGACCTCACCCTGTCGACTCGCTCACAAGGCTTCTTCTTAAATTCCAAAATGGACATGAGGAGACTGCAATGGTTAAACAAGGAGTTTTGCTAGAAGATAGCTGATGTGGAGGCTGGGGCCTCTACTGCTAATGAAGTCATTGAGGCCATCAGAGTGAGGCACGCTGAGGTTGAGTCAAAGATTGGGCTCATCAGTGCTGAAAATAAGGAAATATAGAAGGAAGTCCACTTTTATAGAGTTAAGGTAAACGCCATGAAGAAACGGGTTGAAAATTTTGATAACTTGCAGAAGATAGCTTCGTCAGCCTTGATGATTGCCAATAAAGAGAAGGTGGAGCTGAGGGCTCAAGTGGATGAGCTGGCTGCTGAAGTCGACAACTTGAAGCTGCAATTGAACAGGGCAAGGAAGGTGGTTGTGAATAACTATATTGCTAATTTCTGAGAAACAACTAAGTATGACAGTATACAATGAAGTATTTGGGATACTCGCTGAGTTGTATCCCCAAGTGAATTTGGCTTCTATAAGGGAGGAGTTCTTTCTAGCAGAGCCTTCCATTCCTTCGAATGAAGGTAAAGACTCTGGGGAAGGGGTCAATGCCAAAAAGAGCCTCAACAAGATGACGATACTGCTTAGATTTTGTTATAGTTTTCCTTGTTCAGAATTGTAATAGCTTTCTCTTGTAATGAATTCTTTTTTTTTTTAATGAAACAAGTTTTGTTTAATGGAATAAGTGTTGGTATGATGATTCTGAAGCTTATATGAGCTCGTCATGATTGAATACAACATATGGACTAGCCTTGATTAACTTGAATCATATATAGGCTCGCCATAATTAAAATTTGGCTCTTACATGGGCTCGCCATAATTAATTTAAACGTAACTTATGGGCTACAGCTTGCCGTAATTAACTTAAACATCATATATGGGCTTACCATAATTAAAATTCGATGAAATATATGAGCTTGCCATAATTTAAGTTCAACTCACATATGGGCTCGCTACAATTAATTTGAATGTAGCATATAGGCAAGCCATAATCAAAATTCGATGAAACATATGAACTCATCATAATTAAAGTTCGACTCACATACGGGCTCACCATAATTAAAATTCGATGAAGCATATGGCTCGCCATAATTAATTTGAATGTAGCATATGGGTTGCCATAATTAAAATTCGATGAAATATATCGGCTCACCATGATTAAAATTCGATGAAACATATAGGCTCGCCATAATTAAAGTTCAACTCACATATGGGCTCCCCATAATTAAGTTGAATGTAGCAAATGGGCTCGCCATAATTAAGTTGACTGTAGCATATGGGCTCACCATAACTAAAGCTCAATGAAACATATGGGCTAGCCATAATTAATTTGAAACGGCATTTTTCACAGAGAACAGCTTCATGTTGTTTGCGCCATTCATAGTAGGATCCATTCGAGAGATGGAGATAAGTATAATACATCTTTATTGACAAAAAAATACATAAAAATTGAGGAGAATCCAAACATGATAGAATAGGTGTTTATTGATAGTATATTCTCAAATGCTCGATGTTCCAGGGTAGAGTTGCACATTTCCATCTAAATTTTCGATTTTGAAAGTCCCTGACCTTAACTTGTCAAATATACGATAGGTCCAATTTGGACCCAACATGCCTACACCAGGTTCCTTGAAGGATAGTAAGATCCCTCTTGATACGAGGCCGTCTCTTCCAAATGATTTCTTCTTGACCCTTATATTGTAGTATCTACCCTTTTTTGGTTGGTGGGGCCACTTTTATTTGAGAATCGTCTCTCTTTTCTTCATGAAAATCTAATTCGCATCATCATATCTCATCATTTGATACTTCGTTGAAATATAGGTGGCGAGGCAAGAGTAGCCTGACCTCAATCAGGCTTATTAATTATGCAATGTAGGCCATGGAAAAAGGGGTTTCTCCCGTCGCAGTTCGACTGGTAGTGAAGATTGCCCATAGTACAAGGGAGCTCATCCACTCATGCCCTTTCGAAGTATCAAGCTTCGTTTTTAAGATATGTGATGGTCTTGTTAATTGACTATACTTGCCCATTTGCTTGGGATGATGGGGAGAAGAGAAATACTTCTTAATTCCGATCTCTCCCATTCTCTCACTAGACGCTCTTTAGTGCCACCTCGTCTATGTTGGTGGTGGGGTCAACGGGTGTTAACATTTATTCGGACGACCTCTACCTTGAGAGCCGTGGTGACTAGAGCTCATGGTGTATCACTAGCTCTTTTGTTAACGATGAACTTCAAGAGATGCTTTTTCAATGCCTTTTACCGTTCTTTCTTCAAGAACAATGACCTTTCTTCAAGGTTTGGTTGTAGGATAACTTTCTTTCGACGACTTTCACTATGAGGATACTCGTGTTTGTAATGTGGTTTCTCACAGACAGCGCAATCTGTTGACCTCAAAAAGTGTACCTCCAACATGGCCAATAGATCTCAAGGCCTTTCACGTCCACGCAAGATGTGTTCCTGCACACTTGGAAAAATTATTAACCACACGTGGCCTCCTCCGATGGGGTGGAGTTGGCCATCTGTGTATCAACGATCAAGTCAATTGGGGAAGTAGATATATAAGTGTGGAATGACTTTAGACTTTAGCCTCTAATGTAAAAAGAGGGTTGATTTTGGGGAGTACAAAGTAAAATAGTGATATGACAAAGTTATAGTTTGAAAGTCTAAACTTACATTACATCAAGTGTGAGCTTCTATAGTAGGGGAGGGTGAGTAAGAACAGTCGAATGAAAAGACACATGGCCTTATCTATGCAGCTAAGGCCTCTTATCTTGGCATCAATCAATCATAAGGCTTAAATGCTAATACTATTTTAGCATCCATGATGTCTAACTACTGATTGTGGACTTGACTGGATAGGTTGACAGTGACGACAGTGACAGAGAATTATCATATCAATCACGTCAAAAAATTGTGTTGGAGATCTTGTGCCAAGCTCCTTCTGCGGCTTCACCTTTGCTCATGGAGGCTTTTGAGCTGAGGCTCTTACTTGCGAAGGGTCGGCAATATCTGATGGGTTGACAAACACATGGGTTCAATCACATGCGTAGGCCCTAACTTTGTTTGCCACGTAGGCACATGGGAGTATTTGGGCATAACAAAACTAAAATGTTCTTCGAATTCGAATATGTATCTAAGGCACGTATCTTTTCTTTGTCACCTGTCCATTGCACAAGCCAAAACCAAATATGTCCTCCAGATCCATTTATGAATCAAAGGTGGCACCTGCGCTCCTCCACATGCTCGGTGGGCAGCATGATGGCAACATCTCTTCTCCATCAATCACGTTTGTCTTTTATCTTCTCTTCACTTACAAGAACTCAGATTGTCTGTGTTCTATCTCGTCATTTATAAAAACATTTATGTTTTTCTAAAATCAACAATATAATTTTTCTTTCAATAACAAGGTTTTTAAATTGGAGTTCGCATCTTTTTTTCATTATGCAATGGTCTAGTAGTAGGCGATTTATGGGAGAATTTTAGTCATTTTCGTGAATTGACATTTCTCATTATTATGCTAGAAATCATAATTAAGGGTTATTTTCAAAGCTCAAGAATGTCTGTTTTCATCGAAGCTCTTAAATCGTGTTTTCAACTGAGGCCCCCATCATGTTTCTGACCAAATAACAAAGCCCGCATTCCTTCGATCAAGGGAGCCCCAGCAACCTAAGAGTTATTTTGGTGCTTCAAGCCCGGCGACTGATGCATATATGTGAGCACGTGCCGGGATCCTTCCCACGGGTGTTCACATCTAGGAGGACACCTGGACTGAGATTATTTCAGTACATAATATTAATCCCCCAAAATTCGAGTTTCGTGTTAATATGAATACATATTAGGCTGCACATGAATTTCGAGAAATAGTCAATAATATGTAGTTGAAATCAAGTACTCTATAGAAAAACCGAGGGTTCTCAATGCTCTCATCGTTCATCGAAAACACTTAATTGCTCCCCACCACCACGAAAAGTCTTCTAGAGGAACTTGCTCTGGACTCCATAAAGTAGTCAATATCCTGTCATATCTTCTTTTTCCCATATTTCATTTTCTTGTATGTTTTTCATTTCTACAAAACCATTGATTTTAGAAACAGACTAACCAAAAAATAAATAAAAGAATGAAGATCACAATGATAAAGAACACGATCAGCAAACTATCGATTGGATCGGTTGCAAGTGTCAAACAAAAAAAAATTTCAATAATACAGTTAACTAACTGGCTATCCATTTTGTACTTGCAAAATATGCTATCTACTTCCCTTAAGGGAATACAAAATTGTCATTATACTCTTTGCATGTACATGGCTACTTTTGCCATTTTGAGCCATTATAGAATCCTATAACCATAAGGTGATCATAGCAGCAGACAAGCTTGCATGAACTCAAAATAAATTACAACAAAACAAGAAAAAATTTAGAAAGAAGTCGAGACTTCACAAGAGCAAATAAGGAAATCTTGGAGTCATGAGAAACCATGTGTTACCGTGAGTTCACCACTTGAAGGATCAAATGATGCTTTGATTTCCGTTGACGAACAGTCACCCATAATCTCTACAGGGTTACTTAAAAGCTTCACGGCTTGCTTCCAATATCGTTGTTCTGGAACATTCAGAATATCATTAACAATTTATAGTTCAGAATTTCTTCAAGAGCAGCAATAGGGATTAAAAGCATGTTTGTCCTGCTTAAAAAATTCAGTTATAAGTTTATTCCTGCGTGAATAATTTTGTTGAAAATAATATTTCTTTGATCGATCAAAACTGGATTATAGTACGTTATTTATTTTTAGAGTAGGACAAGGATGGCTTAAAAAATAAATAAATTTAGCCAAAGGCGCTATAAGAAATAAGCATGTTGAAGTGAATAGCAGCAATAACTGTAACATTGATTCCTCAGAACAACACAAACCTGGTCCTGTCGACCACACATTATTATCCTCCAAGTTCAGCACCCAATCAATCCAAAGAACAAATCCATGGCATATTCCAGACTCTTTAAACTGAACCTATAAACATATCAACCGGTCCATTGTAAGTTGCAGATTTGGAAGTTCGATTAGAAACTTATAGGAGGAGAATGAAGAAAATATGAGCCTCATAAAAAGGTAAAGGGACAATGAGGCTAGCAAAAGTGCTCATTCTGAAGGGAAGGCCCCAAATTTCTTGGGATGTAGGTATAACGAGATCGTCGCTACACTTTTAGAGATGCTTTCCATCGAAGTCCACTTGACAACAAAGGTCCACCATAAAATATTGGACTGATAAATACTCATCTTATGTCGATACCTGTGACTCGGTTGACATGTTAGAGGTCGACCTCACCCTGTCGACTCGCTCACAAGGCTTCTTCTTAAATTCCAAAATGGACATGAGGAGATTGCAATGGTTAAACAAGGAGTTTTGCTAGAAGATAGCTGATGTGGAGGCTGGGGCCTCTACTACTAATGAAGTCATTGAGGCCATCAGAGTGAGGTACGCTGAGGTTGAGTCAAAGATTGGGCTCATCATTGCTGAAAATAAGGAAATATAGAAGGAAGTCCACTTTTATAGAGTTAAGGTAAACGCCATGAAGAAGCGGGTTGAAAATTTTGATAACTTGCAGAAGATAGCTTCGTCAGCCTTGATGGTGGCCAATAAAGAGAAGGTGGAGCTGAGGGCTCAAGTGGATGAGCTGGCTGCTGAAGTTGACAACTTGAAGCTGCAATTGAACAGGGCAAGGAAGGTAGCCGTGAATAACTATATTGCTAATTTCTGAGAAACAACTGAGTATGTCAGTATACAATGAAGTATTTGGGATACTCGCTGAGTTGTATCCCCAAGTGGATTTGGCTTCTATAAGGGAGGAGTTCCTTCTAGCAGAGCCTTCCATTCCTACGAATGAAGGTAAAGACTCTGGGGACGGGGTCAATGCCAAAAAGAGCCTCAACAAGATGACGATACTGCTTAGATTTTGTTATAGTTTTCCTTGTTCAGAATTGTAATAGCTTTCGCTTGTAATGAATTCATTTTTTTTAATGAAACAAGTTTTGTTTAATGAATAAGTGTTGGTATGATGATTCTGAAGCTTATATGAGCTCGTCATGATTGAATACAACATATGGACTAGCCTTGATTAACTTGAATCATATATGGGCTCGCCATAATTAAAATTTGGCTCTTACATGGGCTCGCCATAATTAATTTAAACGTAACTTATGGGCTACGGCTTGCCGTAATTAACTTAAACATCATATATGGGCTTACCATAATTAAAATTCAATGAAATATATGAGCTTGCCATAATTTAAGTTCAACTCACATATGGGCTCGCTACAATTAATTTGAATGCAGCATATAGGCATGCCATAATCAAAATTCGATGAAACATATGAACTCATTATAATTAAAGTTCAACTCACATACGAGCTCACCATAATTAAAATTCGATGAAGCATATGTGCTCGCCATAATTAATTTGAATGTAGCATATGGGTTGCCATAATTAAAATTCGATGAAATATATTGGCTCACCATAATTAAAATTCGATGAAACATATAGGCTCGCCATAATTAAAGTTCAACTCACATATGGGCTCCCCATACTTAATTTGAATGTAGCATATGGGCTCGCCATGATTAAAGCTCGATGAAACATATAGGCTAGCCATAATTAATTTGAAACGACATTTTTCACAAAGAACAGCTTCATGTTGTTTGCGCCATTCATTGTAGGATCCATTCAAGAGATGGAGATAAGTATAATACAACTTTATTGACAAAAAAATACATAAAAGTTGAGGAGAATCCAAACATGATAGAATAGGTGTTTATTGATAGTATATTCTCAAATGCTCGATGTTCTAGGGTAGAGTTGCACATTTCCAGCTAAATTTTCGATTTTGAAAGTCCCTGACCTTAACTTGTCAAATATACGATAGGTCCAATTTGGACCCAACATGCCTACACCAGGTTCCTTGAAGGATAGTAAGATCCCTCTTGATACGAGGCCGTCTCTTCCAAATGATTTCTTCTTGACCCTTATATTGTAGTGTCTACCCTTTTTTGGTTGGTGGGGCCACTTTTATTTGAGAATCATCTCTCTTTTCTTCATGAAAATCTAACTCGCATCGTCGTATCTCATCATTTGATACCTCGTTGAAATATAGGTGGCGAGGCAAGAGTAGCCTGACCTCAATCAGACTTATTAATTATGCAACGTAGGCCATGGAAAAAGGGGTTTCTCCCGTCGCAGTTCGACTAGTAGTGAAGATTGCCCATAGTACAAGGGAGCTCATCCACTCATGCCCTTTTGAAGCATCAAGCTTCGTTTTTAAGATATGCTTGATGGTCTTGTTAATTGACTATACTCGCCCATTTGCTTGGGGTGATGGGGAAAAGAGAAATACTTCTTGATTCCCATCTCTCCCATTCTCTCACTAGACGCGCTTTAGTGCCACCTCGTCTATGTTGGTGGTGGGGTCAACGAGTGTTAACATTAATTCGGACGACCTCTACCTTGAGAGCCGTGGTGACTAGAGCTCATGGTGTATCACTAGCTCTTTTGTTAATGGTGAACTTCAAGAGATGCTTTTTCAATGCCTTTTACCATTCTTTCTTCAAGAACAGTGACCTTTCTTCAAGGTTTGGTTGTAGGATAACTTTCTTTCGACAACTTTCACTATGAGGATACTCGTGTTTGTAATGTGGTTTCTCACACATAGTGCAATCTGTTGACCTCAAAAAGTGTACCTCCAACATGGCCAATAGATCTCAAGGCCTTTCACGTCCACACAAGACGTGTTCCTGAACACTTGGACAAATCATTAACCACGCGTGGCCTCCTCCGATAGGGTGGAGTTGGCCATGTGTGTATCAACGATCAAGTCAATTGGGGAAGTAGATATATAAGTGTGGAATGACTTTAGACTTCAGCCTCTAATGTAAAAAGAGGGTTGATTTTGGGGAGTAAAAAGTAAAATAGTGATATGACAAAGTTATAGTTTGAGAGTCTAAACTTACATTTCATCAAGTGTGAGCTTCTATAGTAGGGGAGGGTGAGTAAGAACAGTCGAATGAAAAGACACATGGCCTTATCTATGCAGCTAAGGCCTCTTCTCTTAGACATCAATCAATCATAAGGTTTAAATGCTAATACCATTTTAGCATCCATGATGTCTAACTAGTGATCGTGTACTTGACTGGATAGGTTGACAGTGACGACAGTGACAGAGAATTATCATATCAATCATGTCAAAAAATTGTGTTGGAGATCTTGTGCCAAGCTCCTTCTGCGGCTTCACCTTTGCTCATGGAGGCTTTTGAGCTGAGGCTCTTACTTGCGAAGGGTCGGCAATATCTGATGGGTCGACAAACACATGGGTTCAATCACATGCGTAGGCCCTAACTTTGTTTGCCACGTAGGCACATGGGAGTATTTGGGCATAACAAAACTAAAATGTTCTTCGAATTCGAATATGTATCTAAGGCACGTATCTTTTCTTTGTCACCTGTCCATTGCAGAAGCCAAAACCAAATATGTCCTCCAGATCCATATATGAATCAAAGGTGGCACCTGCGCCCCTCCATATGCTTGGTGGGCAGCACGATGGCAACATCTCTTCTCCATCAATCACGTTTGTCTTTTATCTTCTCTTCACTTACAAGAACTCAGATTGCCTGTGTTCTATCTCGTCATTTATAAAAACATTTATGTTTTTCTAAAATCAACAATATAATTTTTCTTTCAATAACAAGGTTTTTAAATTGGAGTTCGCATCTATTTTTCATCATGCAATGGTCTAGTAGTAGGCGATTTATGGGAGAATTTTAGTCATTTTCGTGAATTGACATTTCTCATTATTTTGCTAGAAATCATAAATGAGTGTTATTTTCAAAGCTCAAGAATGTCTGTTTTCATCGAAGCTCTTAAATCGTGTTTTCAACTGAGGCCCCCAATCATGGTTCTGACCAAATAACAAATCCCGAATTCCATCGATCAAGGGAGCCCCAGCAACCTAAGAGTTCTTTTGGTGCTTCAAGCCCGGCGACTGATGTATATAAATGAGCACGTGCCGGGATCCTTCCCACGGGTGTTCACATCTAGGTGGACTGAGATTATTTCAGTACATAATATTAATCCCCAAATTCGAGTTTCTTGATAATATGAATACACATTAGGCTGCACATGAATTTCGAGAAATAGTCAATAATATGTAGTTGAAATCAAGTACTCTATAGAAGAACCGAGGGTTCTCAATGCTCCCATCGTTCATCGAAAACACTTAATTGCTCCCCACCACCACGAAAAGTCTTCTAGAGGAACTTGCTCTGGACTCCATAAAGTAGTCGATATCCTGTCATATCTTCTTTTTCCCATATTTCATTTTCTTGTATGTTTTTCATTTCTACAAAACCATTGATTTTAGAAACAGACTAATCAAAAAATAAATAAAAGAATGAAGATCACAATGATAAAGAACACGTTCAGCAAACTATCGATTGGATCGGTTGCAAGTGTCAAACAAAAAAAATTTTCAATAATACAGTTAACTAACTGGCTATCCATTTTGTACTTGCAAAATATGCTATCTACTTCCCTTAAGGGAATACAAAATTGTCATTATACTCTTTGCATGTACATGGCTACTTTTGCCATTTTGAGCCATTATAGAATCCTATAACCATAAGGTGATCATAGCAGCAGACAAGCTTGCATGAACTCAAAATAAATTACAACAAAACAAGAAAAAATTTAGAAAGAAGTCGAGACTTCACAAGAGCAAATAAGGAAATCTTGGAGTCATGAGAAACCATGTGTTACCGTGAGTTCACCACTTGAAGGATCAAATGATGCTTTGATTTCCGTTGACGAACAGTCACCCATAATCTCTACAGGGTTACTTAAAAGCTTCACGGCTTGCTTCCAATATCGTTGTTCTGGAAAATTCAGAATATCATTAACAATTTATAGTTCAGAATTTCTTCAAGAGCAGCAATAGGGATTAAAAGCATGTTTGTCCTGCTTAAAAAATTCAGTTATAAGTTTATTCCTGAAATAATTTTGTTGAAAATAATATTTCTTTGATCGATCAAAACTGGATTATAGTACGTTATTTATTTTTAGAGTAGGACAAGGATGGCTTAAAAAATAAATAAATTTAGCCAAAGGCGCTATAAGAAATAAGCATGTTGAAGTGAATAGCAGCAATAACTGTAACATTGATTCCTCAGAACAACACAAACCTGGTCCTGTCGACCACACATTATTATCCTCCAAGTCCAGCACCCAATCAATCCAAAGAACAAATCCATGGCATATTCCAGACTCTTTAAACTGAACCTATAAACATATCAACCGGTCCATTGTAAGTTGCAGATTTGGAAGTTCGATTAGAAACTTAAACAGTTATTGGCATACTGAAAATGACGTAAATATAATACCTGAGCTTTTCCAGAACATGGACCTATTGGTTTCAAGAAATCAAACTCCATGATGGTAATTATGTTACTGAGTTTCTGAAATTAAAAATTGTAACGAAATCAGTATAATAATACAGATGCCACAGCACAAATAAAGTTTTCTGCCTTGCGGTACATCCATTGTACATGACACTACCTTTGTCTTCCCACATTTCCATACAAAGAAAGGCAGACAAGGACTCTCGTCTCCCACCGGTAAATCTCCACACGCCCCCAATGTTGTATTGACAACCATATGATCAAAACCCTCAATTTCTTTCAGGCAACAACGGCTTTGCCAAAGATCCTAAAATAACATGTATACTTTTGCTCAGCAATTATATTAAAAAAAAAAAAAAAATAGAACAGATTAAACGATACTGATTACAGACTTACAGGAAGGTACATGGCACAAGCCCTCAATATTCCTTTACATGGCATTACCAGCACATCTTCTGATAGAAAGGAATCGAGTGAAGTTCTTTCCTTCCTTCAAAACATATAAGGTGAGAAAAATGGGAACCTATTCTTAAAACTATTTCAGAATCAAAGAAAGGCATAGATGAGCAGCAAACTGCACAAGAACTAAAGTAAATAAACTAAAGGATTTTTTTGCACAGCAAATCAAGGAACAAATGGAAATGATATGGTCAAGATGAGCATGTCATCCAATAAAGACTGGTATCCCATTACTTGGAGGCTTTACATTTCAAGGGTATCAACTTAACAGAGGTCTCAAGAACAACGCAAGAGAACCTCAATAAATAGTGATTGAATAGAAGACTAATAACTGATCAGATAAATATCATATTTGAGCCCATATCCTTGGGAAAGACTGATTTTGATCCATGGTAACAACAATTTACTACTACATTACTATCATAAACTGAATAGGAATTTTTTTTCAAGTCTGATCCCCAATGAAAGTGAAAAGATAATACTCCAAAAGATTAAATCAGCAGTAAATTGTAAATGAAAACAATACAATCTTTCCACAAATTGTAAATGTTGATTGATGATGTAAGTAGGCTTTCACTGGTAATCTATTCATATCAAAAACTGTCTGGCCAATCTTAATAAGTAAAAGTTACTTTAGTCGTTATCTTTTAACTTGGGAAAAAGAAGCTTCCGATACTTGTATTCAATATTGGTACTAAAGATGAATCAATTCTCAAATTAAAATATACAAAAAGCAAGAACTTTACCATCTAATGATGCAATTATATAATGAAATCCATTTTTACTAGCCAGGAACATGCGTATTCATAAAAATATTTGCAAAAGGAAGGGATATTGGACAGTGTTAAAAGCATTTTTCTAGGGAAATCCATTTCTGCCGGGAATTGAAAAAGTTTTTTAGCGTGAAAAAAGAAGTAATAAAAAGTTGGAATAAATTGAATCAACTTGACACAAAAAATTGACTGATTTCAATTATCAAATTAATCAATTCCATTACCTATTGAGTTAATCAATATGAAATGGAATTTGTTAAGATTCTTAGAATATGTAGAATAAAAACTACTTTGTTGACCTTAGAACATCTCCAAGAAAACTCTGTAAAGAGAGTTAGTGTTTAAAAGTAACTACAGGAGACTCTTTTTAACTTTTTATTTAAAATAGAGAATGAGACCCCTTATCTGTTCTTAATTTACAATGATAACATTAAATAAGTTACAAAAGTGTATTAAAAAATTTACTTTCTAAATTTAGAGATGCTCTCTATTATGAATAGTCACCATAAGTTCTACACATAAAATTATCAAGGCAGTGCTTGTATATAATGAAATTATCCTCTCAAGCTAGGAACATAATATCTTGTTTAATCACCATAAATTCTACAAATAAAATTATCAGGCAACGCTTACCAAAACCTCAGATATTCCCAGGGAAGCATACTGTCGTTTCCATGATAGAATGGCTCCGCAATTAGTAAATCAACCTGCAGACTAAAAGGTGTCATTTGTCAAGCTCTAAGGCCAACCACCATTGCTTTAAGAGCATGTTTGGCTAAGCCTAAAAAAGGTAAAAGTACTTGATTGGAAATAAGTAAAGACTTTTAAAGAAGTAACTTTTTGAATCAAACATCCCCAAGAAAGAGAACATGTCTGTTTGGAAAGTTATAATTGAAATTATCAACCAAACCAACTTTTAAAAATCGGATTCGCTGACAGACCTTGGTATTGGTGTAGACCAAAATTAGAATTTTTTATTTACCTACTGTGTTTCCCCCTCAAACTATAACATAAGTTTACCTTAGAAGCGATAACTCTTAGGCGCAGAATTGCCCCAAAAAAAAAAAAAAAAACAAGAAAAAAAAATTCAGACTTTCAAATTTTAGTTGTCCCCAGTTTTGAAAAATGTCGAGGTTAAAAGTGCTTTCGTATCAAATATTAGACGTTAGGCTAACGTCACAAAGTACTTTTTGATTAAAAAAGACATCTTCTAAAAGCTGTTTTAGAGAAGCCCAAATTATGAGCTTCTCTTAAAAGCTCTAGTAGTGCTTTTACGGGAAATTTTTAATTACATTTAATGAAACTTTGAAAAAATTTACAAAATACACATTAATATCCAGACAAAAAAAAAATGACATTATAACACAATTAAATAAATATAAAATTTATATAAAAGCACTTTGAAAACACAACCAAACAATCAATGGCTTCTTAAAAGCTCAACTACCAAAAGCTCTACTCACAACAGTCATGCCAAATGGACTCTAACTTAACATGTTTGGTAAAAAAATGTTACTTACAAGTAACTCTTCCAATTTTTTTAGGCTTAGCTAAACATGCTATAAATCAACAAATAGATATATCGTAAATAATAGTTAAGCAGTGAATTATCCAATTTTGTTCAAGCAAATAGTTGTTTCTTGGCACAAAATCTTAATGGGAGGAATACACATTGCTCTGTTTACCTTTCTCTGGTAGGACTCATTCAGAGTCAACTGCAAGTTCCCCTTTTTTGTAACTTCAATGCAATCCATGCTGTAACCATTTGCAGCAGCAACTGCTTGCAAATACTTGGCGCCCTTATCTTGTAGTCCTGGAAACAATGATATCACACTTGAAGCTTTGCCAAGACGAGCAAAAGCAATTGTTAAGAAAAGGCTATCATCTGCAATCAGACATAAGGGATGAAGTTTCTGCTGCATCTGCAAAAGAATACTCAAAAGGTGAACCGGAGGAGAAAACTTGTGGTAACAAAATATATAATCAAACAACTCAATATACTATTGTGTTGGATCCAGCTGCTGTGATTACGGCCCTTTTAACATATTCACATAAATGCACTGGAAAGATTAGATTATAACAAAATATGGAGGAGTTGAAGCATTTGCAGGACAGCAGGATGTTCAAATGTGGAGAGAGAACATGAAGAAAAGAGTTAAGATTCACAGCAAAGATAGTGATCATTAGTATTGTCAGAATTTCCAGAGGGCTAAATGTATTAGTTGGATAATAATGGTAAAGCATTTATTACCCCACTAACAATTGATAAGTTGATGAGTGTATTTCACTCATTGAATTAGCACCTCTAAACCGTAACTTTCAGTTTGTTATTGAGTTGAGCGTTTTGATGTGTTTGTTCGTGTTGTTTTGGTAGTTTAGGTAACTTCGTGAAAATGAAATATTTTGGAGCAAGGAATCGAGCTAAATTGTTGATCATGGAAGTAGAGAGGCAAGAAAATGAGGCCAAAAGCAAAGGAAAAACCAACTGAATTCTGGGCCCTGCGGAAGAAAAGGCAGCAGAATGGCTAGCACTGCGGTGCCAGCAAGGTCCTCATCGCGGCGCTGGGGCGCTAGCAACCACCCGGGAGTTAAAAAAATAAGATTTTTTGGAAAGTTTTCTGCCCAGTCCAGCCCCAACTCATCTTGGAACTTTGAGAGACTATAAATACAAACCTGAATACCTACTTTTGAAGGAAGAGACGACTCAAGAGGCAAGGAAACAAGAGATTGATTGTGATGAGAACATCTATTTTTTATTTATTTTGAGTCGGACTTTATTTATGTTTTAGATTTTATTTATGTAATTGGGCTTGTGTTGGCCCAAATCCATTCTACTTAGAGTTTTAGTCTTTACTATTTAAACCTAATTGCGACGTAAATTCATTAGTTTTGATGAATTGAAGAATATTTTGGTGGTTTGTTGCCTATATGGCTTCTCCTTCCTCTCCCTTCCCCTCTCCCCCATGAATTTCTGCTTCTTCTCCGATTTCTCCCCCCATTCTCTCCGGTTCTTCCCTCTTTCTTACTTTTTCTTTCTATTTTTTAATTCGTCCTGCATCAAATTTGGTATCAGAACCGAACCTTGGATAATTTCTTTTCTTTAATCCAAAATTTATTCATATTTCCTTCCCAAAATTTGTTGGAACAGCACGAACTAAAAGAATTTTTGGTAAAGGCAGCAGTTTTTTCTTCTTCAATTTTCAGTCTTAGTTGAAAAAAAAAAGTTATCGTTCATCGCCGGTACTGTTCACCCAAAATTTTAGTTTAGTATTTTGGTCAATTTTTTTAAAAAAAAAATAATAATTACTGTTCACGCCCAAAAAAAATTTCTCTTTTTTTTTTTGCTGCTGCTAGTGCTCATAAATAAAAAAAATTGTGGTGGTGTTCCACAAATCCCAAATCTTAGCATTCAACCCCACCTAGCCCTTCAATCCATACATTTCATCTCTATAACCTAGTCCATTCATTTTTTTTATCAAAACACTTGGGCCATAAGCTAGTGGCTTAAATTACTCCCAAAGCCCACTAACACACAGCCCATCTCTCATCATCTATTTACCCAATTCACTCGCTTTTCAGCAACACCAAATCCAACCCACTTATCACATATTATCAAAACCGGCCCAACACCATCCAACCCATAACCGGTCCCAAATTCGCTCGGCCCATAACCTAGCCCATTATATACAACACTTAACCCAGCCCACATCTACAATACCCAATCAACCCAAGCCCTAAACTCCTCCTCCCCCGTCGGTATCCCACAGTCACCACACTTTCTGCGACCGCCCTCACTGCCAATCGCCAGCAATCCACTACCACGCCAGCTGTCACCCACCACCCAAAGTTCAATTTTCACTTTATTTTTCACGTCGGTGGACCTCTTCTGAGTTCAGAGTGCCAGGGACATTCGTTGAATTGGATTTGGCCTATTATTTGCATTGGGCCAGCTTTTTAAAACTTTTGAGGATTAGTGTTCCATTCAGCGACTCGACTGCTTAGGAGTATTCCATTATAATTTTCTACTGGAGACGTGCCAACTGGGAAATACAGTTCTGATTCTTTGGATCCTGAAGTACATCGCCATCAGGTTTAAGCTTCCATGGGCACCACCGCTGCAACTAAACAACAGGGAGTGCTTGATTTATATGTCATTGGTTTACAATACTGCTTCATTTAAAATTGCATTTATTAAATTTTTGTGATGTTATTCTAACAATATACCTAAAGTCACGTGACTAAATCCGTTGATTTCGTCAAAACCCTATTGTTCCTCACTTATCAACGTGATTTGAGAATTTGACTATTGTGTTGACCCTTGCTTTGTTATTTTACATGTACCAGTAGCATTCATTTTCTTTGGATCTATTTAATCCCCAAATTTAAGATTAAACAAAAAAATAAAGGGTTCAAGATGTTATTTTTCATTGCTTATATTTATTGTGCATTGATCTCATCATTGCACGTCATTTAGCTGGTATTACATTGCATATAGTTGCGTAGTGGTCGTCCTGTCATCTCTATTTCCAATACGTTGACCATGGATCCATCCCCATTTGATGCGTTCACTAGACAATTAGTGCAACTTGCCACTAGCCTATCGATTGTCCAATCAGATATAACTGCTACTCATGAGGTGAGAAAAAACCTAGCCGCTAAGTTGAGCAATTTTAAGAGGACCCCTCGTTTGACTGACACTAATTCTGAAGCGTCTCATAATAGACAATATCATCGTGGACAAAGGGATCAAAAATATTTTCGACACGATCGTAGGAATAGGGATCAAGTTCGTGAGCAAGAACAAGGCCATGGTCATCATGGTACTCATTCTCTTCCTTGTCGTAAGGAGCGTTTCTTTAGAGACATTGACTCAGATACTCCTACTTTCGATGGTTGCTTAGATCATGAAATTTTTACCCGATGGAACACTCTTACACAAGAGAATCGGCTAGTAATTGAATACATTGCTCAATTTGAGGAATTTCGAGTGAAATGTCATGTCGTTGAGGATGAGGCCCTGACTTTAAGTAGGTTTATACAAGATCTAAGAGATGAACTTATGCGTGAGCTTTTCTTTCGAGACATCACTACTCTTGATCAAGCTTCCTCTTCAACTCGGGACTACGAGTTACTTATTAGTACTCCATATGAAAAGCGCGACCACCATAGTTCTCCCATGTCATTAGCGACACCTCAACGTGAGTCTATCATAGAGCTTTCCCCGTCTAGTGTTCCTCCCATTTGAAAAAATAAATGTAAAGGTCGTGATAGTCCAAGGCCCTCTTCTCCTTACAGAATGCGTATTGACAACCATTCTTCCGCCTCATTGGCTCCACCTCCTCCTGTTAAGTCTCTTCCAGGACCTCCCCCGTCTAATGTTTCTCAAATCTTGAAAAATAAGGGTAAAATTTTTGAAACTCCAGGGACTTCATCTCACCTGCTATGCATCAACTGTAAGGACTTTGGCCATATCTCTTCCGAATGTCCTAACCGAGTCTTAGTCATAGAAGAACAAAATGATGTAATAGAAGAGTCGTTAAAAGATCAAATCTATGAACCTAAATTTGAAGAATGTGATGACTTGAATGATATTGAGGACACTTCCTTATGTAGTATCAGGATTTTTTCTATGAATCTAGGGGTTGTACCCCTTGTTCCCGATATCCCTCAATTAAATGTTGTGTCATACTCTTTTCCAACCCAAAGGTACGGATGATTTGTGTTATCATGTCCTTTTCAAGGAAAATCTTGAGAATTGGGATTTAATCAATTCAAATTGCATATAACAATTTTGTGCATCCATTTATCGGTACAAGTTCCATCGAAGTTATTCATGGTTATAAGTCTAGGAAACTTTTAAACCTTATTCCAATGTCCCCACATACTAGTATGTCTGAGTCAGCTAAGGCATTTGTATGTCATCTTCATGACTTACATATTGAGATCAATAAACAATTTGAAGCAAGTAATGCATTATATAAACTTCAAGCTGATTTGCATAAGAGAAATTTTGAATTTAATATTGGGGATTATGCTATATTGCAAGCTTGTAGTGTTGGTCCTTTAAAAAATTTAATGCAAGCTTGTAGTGCTGGTCCTTTAAAAATTTTAAAGCATGTTGGTTCAAATGCACAAGTCATTGCCCTTTCATCACATTTTGACTACCACTTTGCTTTAAATATTAAGGACTTTATTACTTACAAACACCGTGTTACTTCTTTTGATGATCTATTTCTACTTAACTTTATGGACCCCCAACTTGACTATGTTGATATTTCTACTTCAATACCATCTATCACAGCACACAAAGATAAAATTGATATTATTTTAGATGAGCGTGTTGTATTGACCAATGATGGCAAAATTCAGTACTTCCTTGTTTGTAGGATAGATCGACGTGCTTCTTATGCTCCTCATTACATACAATCATGTGAAAACCTGGAAGATGAGGTACATGAGTATTCGTTATTTGGAATCCAGTATCAGTACTTGGTTAGAAGGAAAGATCGCCCCCTTGGTCAGAGCATATTCTTGCGAATAAGCTACAGTTTTCAGTACTATCAATCATGGAATTTCGTTACTTGGTTCGTCAGAAAGATCGTCCCCTGTGGCTTTACTTGACACATTTGGAGTATCAGATTGACTGCAGCCTATACTATCTATCAACTCGATAGGGTCGAGTTTTTCTCCCACCCCGGGAGAGTTGATGATGACATCTACTTTTTATTTATTTTTAGTCGAACTTTATTTATATTTTAGATTTTATTTATGTATTTGGGCTTGTGCTGGCCCAAGTCCATTCTGCTTACGGTTTTAGTCTTTACTATTTAAACCTAATTGCAATGTAAATTCACTAGTTTTGATGAATTGAAGAATATTTTGGTGGTTTGTTGCCTATACGGCTTCTCCTTCCTCTACCCTCCCCTCTCCCCCATGAATTTCTACTTCTTCTCCGGTTTCTCCCCCCATTCTCTCTGATTTTCCCCTCTTTCTTGCTTCTTTCTATTTTTTAATTCGTCCTGCATCAGATTGAGAGCAAGAAAGACAACAATTAGGAGAAAAATTCAAACGCCAAATCATTTTTCCTCATTCTTTTCTTCTCCACATTCTTAATATTAGATTGGATTATGTCTTTTCTCTTATTCATAAACTAATTTCTAAATCTAAGGTTTGATATAACCTAACTTGAGACATGTTTGGATTCTGATATGGTTATTTCTTTTAATTTGTGTTGATTCTTGCACATTGCTTTCAATTACCTTATCAACAGTTGAATGCTTTGATGCTTTAAATCTTAGTACTCGAGAGAGATTTAGGCATGATCTAAGAATAACATAACCTAGATTTTGTAGGTTACGAAATCTTTGAGGTTTATTCTAATTAAGAACTATGTTCTTGATAATTTCTAGATTTTTAATTTGAAATAGAGATATTGAAATTATAATATAGAGATGGGTTCTATTCAGCATTTGATAAAGGGAATATAATTAATTTAGGGTTCTTACCTATAAATTTAGGAATAATATCTGATAGAAGTAACTATAAAAGTTGAGAAACATTGTTGACAGTGCGATAAAATCATTCCCTAGGCTTTCTCACGTTGATAAATCTCACATAATTTGCTTTGTTTTACTTGCAACTGCACCACATTCACATTAGATTAGTATAAAAACATTGATTCTAAACTTGATTTTCTAGATAAAGTAAAAGCTAAAATAATTATAGTACTTAGTATGAATTAAATATCAATCCCCATCAAATCAACATCCTTACTTGATCTTATATAACAAAACTTGACAATTGACACCGTACACTTGTGGTAAAATTTACGTTGTACAAAAAGTGTAACATAAGTAAAAGGACACGGGGTGAAGTGATAATGTAGGAGGTCAAATGAAATGCGAGGTACCTATGACTTCATCAAGAAAATTTGCATAGATGGAATTGTCCTGATAGAAAGAAGTACTCAGATTGAAATAAATATGAACTTGTCAAAGATAAAATGGATCTTACAACTCTCTCAATGGCTTTCAACATTGAACATCTCCAGCTGTTATCACCATATATTGCAATTCTTTCTGGTGATAGAAAGATATGACGATCTTGACTGCATGAGTCGAGATGATCAGCGTCTTTATTCTGGGATGAAGTCTTCACTTCGTATGAGATTCTAGTTTCAGTATGAAAAGCATTCAAACGAACCTCTTTGTCCTTACATACCGACAGGCCTGAATCTGGGGTGAACCAAACAGTTTGTTTCCAATGGTCACACCAATTATCAGCACCTAGAGATGTATACACATAAATACAAGAAAAGGGTTACGATTTAAAAATGTCTGAAATTGTGCAGAGGCTCAATGATGATTATGAAAATTTAGAACAGATTTTTTCCCCAGAAATCAAACCCATTATTGCTAATCAAGAATTCTCTCCACACACACACAGCCCCTATTTGCGGACATTGTCCCTCATC